GGTGGCAAAACAGTGCAAAGCATTTGGGGATGTACCCTCCAGACGTCTGCTCTGCCTCTTGCCCCTTTGCCTCCCTCCTCCCTCCCTCCTCCCTCATCCCTCATCCCTCCTCTCTCCATCCCTCCTCCCTCCTCCCTCCTCTCTACATCCCTCCTCTCTCCACCCCTCCTCTCTCCCTCCCTCATCCCTCATCCCTCATCCCTCCTCTCTCCCTCTCTCCATCCCTCTCCCTCCTCCCTCGTCCCTCATCCCTCCTCCCTCCGCCCCCTCGTCGCTGCCCCATGCCGCGCCCCCCCCGCCGAGGGCCCGGGCGGCGACGTCACCGGCGACGAGGGCGCCGAGGGCGCCGCCGAGAGCGGATCATCCTCGAGCAGCTCCTCGTCGGAGTCGTCGGGCTCGGACTATAGGCAGCGGCCCGGCGGCCAGCGACGGGGGGGTGAGGAACGAAGGGATGCGTGGGAGAGGGGCGGGGGGATGGGGGCGGGGATAGGGGATAGGGAGAGGGGGGAGGGGAGAGGGCATGGGCAGCATCGTCACGAGCAGGAGGCAGGAGGCGCGTCGGGGGGGTACTCGTCAATCCTCCTCTTCCCTCCTCCCTCTTGTTCCAGCGCCGCCTCCTCCTCCACCACCTCCTCCTGCGCCTCGCCCATCCTCATCCTCTCCCTCCACCGTATCACCTGCATCGTCATCCCCTTCCTTCTCATCCTCCATGGGCCTCCTGGGGCCTCTGTCGGGCTCCATCGGCTTCCATCGGTTTCTATCGGCCCGGCTCCAGGCGCTCTCTGTCGGCCTCCGGTGGGCGGTGGGCTTCTGGCTGCTTCCTGACGGCCTCTGGCGGCCTCCATCGGCCTCTATCGGCCCCATGGCGGCATCTCGTGGCCTCAGGTAGCTTCTCGGTGGCCTCTTTCGGCTGCTGGCGGCCTCCTGGCGGCCTCCTGTCGGCCTCTGGCGAGGTCCTGGCGGCCTCTTTCGGCCTCTGGCGAGGTCTTGGCGGCCTCCATCGGCCTCTGGCGAGGTCCTGGTGGCCTCTCTCGGCCTCTGGCGGCCTCTGGCGAGGTCCTGGCGGCCTCCCTTGGCCTCTTGGCGGCCTCCCATGGCCTCCTGGCGGCGTCTGGACCCCAAACTGAAGTCCCAGTCGGCCTCCTGAGTGCCAGCTGGCCTCCCGACCCCAACGGGTGCCCGGAACCTTCCCGATTCGTTCCCGACGTCGGCCTCCGGTGCCCGAATCTGCCAGGGGGGGCGCCCGGAACCTTCCCGATTCGTTCCCGATGTCGGCCTCCGGTGCCCGATTCAAGGTCCAGACCTCGGCTGGGGGTCCTGGAGGCCGCCTGGAGGCCGCCAGGAGGCCAGTTCGGGCTCTGGAGGCCGCCGGAGGCCGCCAAGAGGTCGAAAGAGGCCGCCAGGACCTCGCCAGAGGCCGCCAGGAAGCCGCCAGAGGCCGAGAGAGGCCACCGGACCGCGCCAGAGCCCGAAAGAAGCCGCCAGGACCTCGCCAGAGGCCGAAGGAGGCCGCCAGAGGCCGAGGGAGGCCACCAGGACCTCGCCAGAGGCCGATGGAGACTGCCAAGACCTCGCCAGAGGCCGAGAAGGAGGCCGCCAGGATGCCGCCAGAGGCCGAGAGCGACCGCCAGGAGGCGGCCAGAGGCCAAACGAAGCCGTCACAGGCCGCCACGGGGCCGGTAGAAGCCGAAAGAGCCCGCCAGGAGGCCGCCAGACCGCCAGAGGCCGCCGTGGAGCCGACCGAAGCCCGAAGCCGATGGAGGCCGAAAGGCCGAAGGAGATCCTCCTCGTCCTCCTCCTCGTCCTCCTCCTCCGCCTCCTCCTCCTCCACGATGTCGCTGCAATCGCTGCGACGTCCGTTTCTCGACTCCGCCAGGCGCGAAGTGCCCGTGAGCATTGGGGCAGTGCATGTATGCGCGCGCAGCACGCCTCCCCTGCAGATAAGAGCGAGGGGCGGTTGCAGGGTTGACGCGCCCTCCGGGTGCGAGAGTGCGAGTGGCGGGGAGTGAGATGGGAGCATCGCCGCCAGAAACCGAGCCCTTCGACCGGCCACCGGCCACGCGCGCGCACGGGGGGTATCATTCATTTCGGTGCATACATATGCACAACCGTGCGTGGCTCATATATGCATGGGTATACACATCTACACATTAACATACATATACAATATACATGCGTACGCATGCGAACGTGCGCTGTTGTGTATATATGTTCGCATATCAGACACAAGTTGCCCATCCGACATCCGAGGCCCTGGGCTCAAAGAACAGGGAACAGGGCGCAGGGCGCCACAACTGCCTGCGCATGTCGGGGTCAGGCGAGGGCCGACGACCAATGGAGGCCTTCTGGGTGATGCGTGCCAACTGTCAACTCCCGATGTTATGCAACGGCGGGGGGGGGGGAGTGAGCGGCATTTTGCATTTGTGCATTGGGCGAGCGGCGAGTGGAGGGCTGACTGCGGCATCGGCGACGCAGGGCTCGTGGCTCGTGATTGGTGCAAATCCGAATTTGGTGATGCGTGTTTACCGTTGCATAATGCATGGTGCATGACATGGGGGGCCCCGCTGGCCGCTGGTGGATATTCGAGAGAGTGGCATGCGTCGCGCGTAGCAGAGAGGGGCAGCCGAGCTTGGGGGCTGAGGGGAGGGAGGGCGAGATGCGAGAGGGGAGAAGGGGGGGGGAGGGGAGGCTGCGAGCGCGTCAGCCAGCTCGTCCAGATCCAGCCCAGTCAGCGGCTCATCCAGACCCCGCCCGGCAGAGATGGCTCCGCTAGTGGGGGCGACGCGGTGGTGACAGGCGAGCGAGTCAGGGGTCCCACTATCATTCCGCCGACGCCAACCGAATTCCTGCCAAACGGGACGCGCACTATCATTCCGCGGACGCCAACCGATTCCCTGCCAAACGGGACACTAACTCGTATCCCTTCGACGCCGCCAGAGTTCGCGGGGGATGGTGAGGTTACCGCACGCTCGTTCCACGCCGAGAACGAAGACGATGCCTGGGCGGATCTCCAGGCGAGCCAACGTGAGATGTTGGCCCGAGACGAAGATCCCGATGGCGCGCTGCCCATCGACAAAGAGGGCTTCCCGATAATCCCTGCTGGCCGCATGGAGGAGATGACGCAGCCGGCGTCCATGCTTCCACTGGAGCAAGATCAGAAGAACTTGGTCTTTGGGGCGGGGAGCAGGGAGCCGAGTCTCGCCTGGAGTCCAGGAGGCCAGGAGGGAGCTAGGGAGCTAGGGAGTTCGGAAGCTAGGATTAAGAGTCAGCTAGCGAGTGACCGACGACCGACGAAGCTATTGAGGCAACCTGGAACGCGGGATCACGTGATCACCGCGTTTGCGGGGATGGGTTTCTGGCCTGGGGCTCAGGGCTTGGGGCTTGGGGGGCCGGCGAGGTCATCACCGTCGACAACGATGAGAGCGTGCCGCCGCCGATCGCGCCCCCGTCGTGTGAGGAGGTGCATCAGGCGCCCCGGGCTCGCAACATGGCGAATTGGGATGTTGCGTTTTCTTGCGTGGTTGTTCGGGGCGGTCTATCTGGCAATCCGTGCTTGATATTAGGGATCAGGCACATGGCCTACTCCTGGCGCGCAGCGAACAAGAGTGCGGCATGCATGGTTGTAGATCGATACGCGCACGTATGTTCATGCAAAAAGTATGCATACATGTATGCGTGATTATGATTGTCTGTGCATGTGCAGATGCACATTTATGTTACGCAGGCACATTTATATATATATATATATATATATATATATAAAATCATACAGGCACGCGCATGGAAATATCAGGGAAAACACACTGCGAACCACATGCGCGTGCAGGCGGGGGGCCAGGGTCGAGAAATAGAGAGAGGGAGAGAGAGAGAGAGAGAGAGAGAGAGAGAGAGAGAGGGATGGCCCCGCGCCCCGCCCCCCGCCCACCGCCCAGGCGCAACGTCGGCAACATCGGGACCTGCTGCTTCAGCATCGGCTGCGCCTGCGCCGACATCTGCGGGCGCGTCGGCTACCCCCCAGGAGGACTCGCTTTTGTCAATCGCCTCTCTCGCGAGCGGACGGGGCTGATGAGTTATCGGGTCGGGCGGTCGGGCGGTCGGGCCGTCGGGCCCCCGCAACCCGCGCTTAGCACATGCTCTGGGGCCCTGGGCCCTGGGCCCTGGGCCCTGGGCAACTGCTCGTCGACTGGCGGGTGAGTCGCGATTTGGCTTCGCCGCGAGGTCGTCTCATACATGCTTTGTTATCGACGATCGACGCCGCGAACTCGGCGGGCCCTGGCTGTGGCGTCCCAGATTTTCGATCCAGCAGGAGGGGTTATCGTTTATCGTTGCACTTCAATCGGCTAGCATAAGATGCCGGTCCTGGTCGCCACCGTCCCCAAGGGGGTCAGGGGGCAAGGGGGAGAGGGGAGAGAGGTGGGAGAATGGGGAGTGGGAGGGGAGAGGGGAGGGGGGGGGGCGGGAGGAGGCGGGAACGCGGAGGAGCCGGACAAGGAGGGGGAGTAAGCGGAGGACGGATGAGGGCGTGAGGTGCGAGGTTCCCGGTTCCCCAGACATCCGCGCGCTCCAATGTTTTCGATGCACGGCCCCAGGGGCCAGGGGGTCCCCGGGCGCCCCGACAACTAGCCGAACATGTTTTCGATGCACGGTCCCTGGGTCCCTAGGGTCGCCACCGTCGTGATCGCCAGCTCCCAGCACGCAGCGCGCCAGCGCCATCGCCGATCGCCGTCAACGTCGCTATCGTCGCCAGTCGCCAGTCGCCATTCGTAACATCAGCACATCAGCACATCAGCATCACCACCGTCATCGCATGAGCCCATTTTGGCTTAGGTGCGCATCTGTGCGCGCAAAACGCTGGCGACGCCGCCGGCGGCCGGCGCTCATATCTCACGCTGTCCACCCAGCGCGGGAGCGATAGCGGACGCAGTCCAGGTCGGCAGAGGAGGCGCAGCCGGTCTCGCACAACCGTGAACCTGCAAAGAGAGAAAGCCGACTTGGTCGAGCTACTGACGTGGGAGCCCCGCCTCCTGGAGCAATGCGAGCGGCACCATTCGCGTCGCAACCTGCCTACTTTCACCTCCCAGAACATCGTGATTACGGAAAGTTATGCTGGGACTTGCGCTGGCAGTTTTGCCCTTGGGAGGGCGTTTGATCACGCGAAGAAGTGTTGCGGGCACGATGGCCGCCGCTGGCGCGTGCACTTCGCCTGCGACAAGGGCGACGTCCAGCAGGATCTACTTACGTCCATGTCTGGCCCTCACCAGCCGCAGCACATCTTCGGCGATATTCTGGATAGGTTGCACGACGATGACCGGACGTATCTGGACCACATCGTCAATACCACCTTCGCGGCTAATGCTGTTATCTTGCAACAGGCGAAACAAGGCGAGATCACATTCGATAACTACAAGGATGCGGCGCAAAGCCTCTGCGACGACATGTACACCTCGATCTGCAACCGTTTGGAGAAAGCCACCTTCAGGTCATCGTTGGTAAGTGTAGGCTGTAGGCGCTCGCGGACCCAGGACCCAGGTGGCCATGACTGTGAAAGCCCAGAGCCCAGAGCCCAGACACGTGGTTGGCTTTGCCCAGCCTCTTGCCCGGGCAGCCCAATCATGGCAATCTCAGGTCTCAGACCTCAGACCTCCTTCGCAGTCAGGGCCGCCTGAGGCCTGAGGCTTGATGCGCGACTGCGCTTGCGAACGTATCGAGGGAGAAGTGCGAGTGCGCGAATTGCGGCAAGGAGTGCCCGGTCTCGCCAAGAGCGCCGAGTACGTCAGCGGAGCACCCCCAGGAGCAGGAGACCTGGGTGGAGATTGCTGGCAACACATGCTGTCCATGGAGCCTCCTCAATCAGAGCAAAAAGAAGGGATTGTTTGACCCTGCGGCGTGCCCGATGCGGCCGGGGAGTGAAGGGGGGAGGGCGGAGAGTGGAGGGCGTAGGCTTTGCGGCGCGCGGCCATTGCGCCGAGCAGCATCACGAGTTATCGAGTCGGATCTGGGGCTCGGGGCCTGGGGCCTGGGGCCTGGGGGTCTGGCGTCTGGCTGGGTGTCTGGGGCGATGTTCGGGGTTCGGGGCTCCAGGCCCGTGATGCGCGCATTTGCCGCGCGCCGCCTGCAAGGTTGGCGTGGGCGTATTCGACCCGATACTATGGGCCGGACGCGATCCAGCAGGAGTGCGTGCCCGGCTTCAACGCCGACTTGCTGCTGAACATTCTCAGCCCCAAGTACACTGCGAAGTTTATGGAGTTTGCCCCTTGCGACGCTGGTTTCCCCTCGAGTGGGAAGCGCCAATTCGGCATCTTCGTCTTGGCGAATATGGTGAAATCTCAGCTGGAGGCCGTGAGCAGCGATCTTAGGGAAACGTTTAAGAAATGCATCAACCAGCCCAACTCCCTCGACATGATCTTGCAGGGCAGTCAGGAATTGCAAGACGCTTGCATGGCCAGCATCCTGGAGCGCAACAGTCTGTTCGGCATCCAGGTCGGCTATGCAAAATGGGAGGACGTGCTGACGCCGCACGAGCGGAAGCGGCTCACGTTCGCCAAGAGAAACGCTGCCGACTCAGGATACTGTCAGATCGACGATGCGGGGAACTGCTTCGATTGGAGCGTGTCAGCCGCAATCGTCAATTTGGACGTGACCGAAGGCTTCGACACTACGCGGATTAGCCGCATGCCTAGGCTGACCAAGGGCAGCTTGCTTTGGGACCTTGTCAGGGAGCGGCTGTTGGTCCCAGAGGAATACTGGATCGCCATGGGCTGGCCGGTTCCGGGCGTGGTCCCGAAATCTGCCATCAGATGCTACCCTCACGACCTGAACGCCGTGTCGTTCAGCCATCACCGGATGCTCATGGGGAATGGCATGCACGTGGTATCAATGGGCTGCGTTTCCTATTGGATGATGAGCGCGCCGACGTGGCGCCTGAATCCGCGGGCCCGCTGAGCCGCCACTAGCCTCTAGCCCTTAGAACGAGACGGCTGCGCCCTGTCTTGCGCAACCAGACCCCAGACCCCAGACCCCAGACCCCAGATCCCAGACATATGCCTACGCTTCCCTATCTTCTTGGCCTCTCCTCTTTTCATCTCTCGCAGCGGGAGGCTATGTGCCCTGTGCCCTGTGCCCTGCGCTCTGCGACGACGGCCTGCCTTGGGCGCGCCCTGGGGCTTAGGGGGCCCTAGTCCAGCAGCAGTAGCACTGGTCATTGGTTGAACAGTGAACAGCAACATCAACATAGCATCATCGCATCCGCCATAGTCGTCGTCGTTGTTGTTTAATCCCCCATAATCGTCGAGAGTTTTCGTCGTCGTCGATGTCTTTGTTGGAGGTTGGAGGTTGGAGTCTGGAGGCCGGAGGGTTGGAGGTTGGAGGAGGGTGGAGATAGGTGGTTAGAGGTCTGAGGAGGATGGAGGGATGAAGGTTTGAGAGTGGAGAGTGGAGGTTGGAGGAGGACGGCGGAGGAGAGATGATATCTTTTTCATCGGTATCAGAAACCCGCGATGCAGATCGTGCTCCCGCTGCAGCGCGGGCGTTCGCACCCGAAAGCGCCTGCCACCGCCCGACTCCTGCACGCGAGAACCAGCGTGCACTGTAAGCCCCTGACCCTGGTCCCTGGTCTCCGATTCGGACGGGGACACCCTCCAGCACACGACGCGAAAATGGAAAACCAACATCTGCCAAGCCAGCCCCCCGCGATGTCCTCGAATTCAATAGCACACATAAAGAAACGAGTACGCGTAATTGCGAATGCACAGCCCGCGCGCGTCCATCGCGCGATTTGCAATGAGCCCGGAGTGATCAAACCACTGGATGGCCAAGCGCTCGGCTTCCGCCGTTTCTTTATCAGGAAAACTGGCGACCACCAGCATCCTGTCCCATTTGCACCGATGGCCCATCATGAACTCGGCGCGGCCACGGCCACGATCATCCCGCCACGAGTAGCCGCCCTCCCACCGCCATCTTGGGCACGAGGTGCTGCCGATGTAGGCGATGCCATGGTGATCTCCGCCACGGTGCTCTTGCGCCAGGCGCAGCCCGTGCCTGAGCCGAGAGAACAGCTCATACTTCCCAGCACGGTTGTGGATAGAAGGAGTCAGGATTGGCGAGATGCCATTGATGTATATCGATGACTCCTCAGCTTGGCGAAGCACCATCTCTGCGTCCTCGCGCGCATTCCGCCACAAGAGGATGCGTCGCGGCACCTCGCCCTCGCCCTGGAAGTCGTTGCGCCTCAAGGCATTGCTGGGCGACCTGATGGTCTGACATGCCGTCGCCGCCGACGACGCAACAGCCGCGCTTGCACCATCCATGCCCATGCCCTTCGTCGCCATGCCCTTCGCCGTGTCCGCCATGCCCGCCATGCCCTTCGTCGCCACGCCCTTCGTGTCCGCCGCCTTCGTGGCGCCATGCCCTTCGTGTCCGCCGTGCCCTTCGTCGCCGTGCCCTTCGTGTCCGCCATCCATGGCATCCGCCATGCCCTTCGTGTCCGCCATGCCCTTCGTCGCCATGCCCTGCGTCGCCGCCACCTTCGTGTCCGGCATGCCCTTCATGGCTTCCTCGTGCCCATCGGGGCGCTGGCCGGCCTGGCCAGCGTCGTCGCCCTCGGAGTCCGAGAAGCCCCACAGCTGGGCTGCATGGCGCCGCTGCCTCTCGGCGTCGCGCTCCTCAGAGCACCTCCACCAAAGCTCGCCAACGCAGCGCGGCCCATGTGGATCCATGATCACTGGCCAATGGGCCAATGGGCGTGGGCCGCGGGCGCGGTTCGCATAAACATTGAACCAAAATGGTTACGGGCAACGCGACGAACACAAAGACGACGACGCACGACGGACGACGACACGACGATGAAGAGATCCCCTCCGCCGCCCTCGCTGGCCCGCAGGAGAACTGGACGAAACGCTCGAACGAGGGCGCCGCGGCCGAGCGCCGCGTGAGGTCGCGCGACTAGCGGCGCCCCGCCAGTGCATCAGGGGGCAATTCTCGGGTAGGCGCTGCAATTTTGTTCGGGGGCCTCCCGCCAGTCCATCGCCATTGGCTTCCATACCTTTGTCATCGAGGGCCCGTGAAGGGATTTTAATCATGTGCAGACACGTCGGAAGGCGTCCGTCGTCCGTTTTCCACATCTCTAGGACATTTACGTTTGGCCGTATCCTGGGAGCAAGAGGCAAGAATGCTCTAAGAGGGCTCAGGGCTCCGAACTCCGAGATGGCGAGATTGCGCAATTAAAGAGCCCGAGACTTGCACAAGTAAAGGGCCCTCAGGGGCCCAAGATTTGCACCATTAAAAGTTCCAAGGGCCCGAGATGCTCCAGGGGGCGGGGGGCCCAGCGTGGGCCGCGCGGAGCACGGGGCACGGAGGGCCCCGCGGGGGCTCCAGCGGCCAGCGGGGCCCACCGGCCCACCCCCTCTCCCCTCTCCCCTCCCCCCTCCCCTCTCCCCTCCCCCCTCTCTCCTCTTTCGCGCAGCCCGCTGACCACCTGCTGTCGCACGCTCCGGCATTGGGGCTTCGGGCTTCGGGGCCTCGTGCGATCGACGGTATTACGGTATTCAAATGCACATTGTAATTTACATGATGTTGAGCCCGTTTCTCAGAAAAATATAATTTCGCTTGAGACATCCTCGCGCAATCGAGCCCCGACGAACCCTATGGCGCCTGGTGCCCCCTGGACCCTCCTGGGGCTTTTACCCCTCAGCTCTTACCTCTTGCCCCTTGAGCCCGCCCTGCGATGATGAGCACGACGCACGACGACGAAAACGATAAACGACGACGACGAAAATTCCACGCGCCACCACGGGGGTCTGGGGTCTGGGGCGCCTGGGCCGCCGGCCGGCCGGCCCTGAGACTCTCAGTCTCTCAGTTGCTCAGTTGTGAAAGGGGAGGGCTCTCTTCAACGCGTGGTCGCCGCCGTCGTCGTTGTCGTCGTTGCCGTCGTCGTCGTTGGCCCCGAGCCCCGAGCCCCCGCCCGCCGCGCCGAAACCGCGAGCCGCGAGCCGAAACGCTCGTGCCGAAAAGTCAGCTGGAGCGTCCGAGCCGAGCCGGGACGTCCAGCCCCTGGGGGCCTGGGGGGCGGGGAAGGAACAAAGGAGAGAGGGCGGCGAGAATATGGGGGACAATGCCAGTGGGCAGGTTAGGGAGGCGCAGGGCCCCGCGGGCCAGGACAGTGGCTTGGGGCTGAGGGTTGACTCTTCCCTACTCCCTACTCCCCACCTCTCCCTATTCCCTACTCCCCCTCCCTACTCCCCCTCTCCCCCTCCCCACTCCCTACTCCCTGCCCCCCCTCCCTACTCCCCCTCCCAACTCCCTACTGCCCTCCTCCCCCTCCCTACTCCCTACTCCCCCTCCCTACTCCCTACTCCCTCTCCCATCCGTGCCCTTACTGCCCTCCGGCCGGCGGCGCCAGCGGGGAGCGGGGAGCGGGGGCCGGGGCCTGCGGCAGGCGCGGCGCCGGCCGCTGGCGCTGGCGCGGCGCTGGCCGGTGGCCTGCGGCCTGCGGCGAGCGGCGCCGGAGGCCGCCCCCGTCCGCTGCGAGGGAGGGAATGAGGAGGATCATGGAAGATGAAGAGGGCGATGGCGATGAGTCGATGATGTTGATGGTGGACGGGGAAGAGGAGGTGAGGCGGAGGATGGGGACGGAGAGGAGGGGAGTAGGGAGTAGGGAGTAGGGAGTAGGGAGGGGGAGTAGGGAGTAAGGAGTAGGGAGAGGAGGGGACTAGGGAGTAGGGAGTAGGGAGTAGGGAGGAGGAGCCCAGACTAGACACCAAACCTCATCGTATCATCGTAGCTTCACTTCATTGCCAGCTTCCGCAATTGCGTCGAACTCTTACTCTTCACTCTTCCTCCCTCCCCCTCCCCCCATCTTCTCCCCCCCCCCCCCCCCCCACCCCCCCCCTCTCCCCCCCCCCTTCCCCCTCTTCCCTAAATTCCCCTTCCCCCTTCCTCTTCCTTCTCCGTCCTTCCTCCCCCCCTCCTCCCTTACTCTTCCTCCTCCCCCTTCCCCCCCCCCTCGTACCCCTCCCCTTCTCCCCATCCCCCCTTCCCCTTTCCCCTCCTCAGCCACGAGCTGGCTTCCGCCGCCCGCCGACTCTTTCTCAACTCCTGGAGGTTCAACTCCTTCTTCACCACGTCCTCGTCCTTGATCTCGTCACCCTCCCCCTTCTGCGCCAAGAAGCCGCCGTCGTTCGCCTCGTCCGCCTCCTCCATGGTCGCCACGTCCGCCTCCTCCTCTGTGGTGGCCTCCGCCTTCGCCACCTCCTCCTCCTCGATGGTGGCCACGTCCGCCTCCTCCTCTGTGGCGCGCCTGCGTTCCCGGTCCAGGCCCAAGACCAAGTAGTTGGCGCTGTTGAAGTGCTTGCGCCCCTGGGACCAGACCATCTGGTTGCGGCGATCGCGCGCCCAGAGCCAGCGCTCCGCAATGAGGTCCTCAAAGCACGACTCCGGGAAGTCCTCCTCGCACGGATTGTGCAACACCTTGGGCGCGAACCGAGCTGGCTCAGGAGCCTCCTTGGGCAGCGGCGGAGCCTCCTCTTCGGCGGCGGCCCTCGGCGGCGGCCTCATCGGCGGCGGCCTCATCCTCTTCGGCGGCGGCGGCCGCGGCTGCGGCTGGTGCCCCGACGGCGCGGACATCTTGAGGGCCTTCTTCGCCACCACCGCTGACTTGACCGCCAGCCGCACTGGCGCCGGCGCCGGCGTCGACGCACTCGGAGCCGCGCTCGCCGAGCTCGCCGCCGCCGAACTTCGCCGCCGCGGCGGCGGTGCCACCTTCGGGGCGGGCTGCCAGCACGGCGGGTAGCGCAGGCCGGCCTGCTGGAACTGCGGGAACGGGTGCGCCACCACCCTCGGGAACGGGTACGCCACCACGGGAACGGGCACGCCACCAGGCACGCCACCACCTTGCAAGGGCGCCTGCGCCTGCGGCGCCGGCGGTGATGCAGGCGCCTGCGAACAGA